TTTTTTTTTAAAACTTATAAATTCAGAAAACAAAATGAATTGACTTTTTACCATTAAAACCAAAACAAATCCAAGAGCAAAAATAGTGCATATTTTTTAAAACAAATAAATTAAGAATAATACTTATATCAAATTTGTTAGATCTATTAGGTCTATGTAGCCAACTATGACACCTAAATTATTACTACCTCCGGTCTTAATTATAAGACCTCATTTATAGATTTTAATTATAATACTTTGTTTGTAATCTACAAATATAGGTCTTAGAACCTATCTAGATTAGCAGTGAACAACTGTTATTTTAGATAATCATAAATTTTATAAATGATACTGGCTATAAATGATACTAGTTAATCGTGATTTCTGTTTGGATGTTTTTTTTAGAAGTGATTTTAATAATTGTGATTATGTTTGGTTTTCATTTATTAAAATCACTTATAGATGTATAATTACTAAAAAGGACATGAAGTTAATAAAGTTGTTTACATTTTCATAATTATTATATTTAATAATAAATTTTATTAAATATAATTTAATAAATGACATGAATATTTAAATATTATTTTTATTGTCTTAATTTAACGATGCTCCTCGAATCAGAATGAGATCAGAATATTATTTGAATATTTGCTTCGCATTGTTTCAATCATATGTCATCCATTCAAGTTTTATCCGATTTTTTTTTAAAATGTCTTTTAGATAAAATTAAAAGAAAAATAGTTTCATATTGTATGCTTTTTGAAAAAAAATTAAAATAATTACCATTAGAATGATTATTAGTACGACTGTTTCCGGAAAGGATGTGTGTCAGGAGTGGATGGAATAGAGAGAGGCATTGAATGAGCAAAAGGTATATTGGAGAAAATTTAATTGCTGAATATTGATTGGAATTTTTCAAACACATAAGCTACTTTTTATTGTTTATCCTAAATGTATGGTAAGAGGTTAAAATCATGATTTATCAGAATTTTATAGAAATTATCCAAACAACTCAAATGTACTTCATAATCATTTATTTGGATTTTAAACGGGTTTATTTGAAATCCTATCACTTGATCAAACAGGACACTTATAATTATGATAGGAGGTAGTATAACACATCAACACTTAACGTCGGTTAAGCCACTATTTGTCTATTTGTGATTCTTCACCCGCTTTCTCCTTCAAAAAGCTAGCACCCCCAATAAAAACACTAGTATGTATAATGTCGCGTAAAGATAGTTTTGTCATTGTCCTTCTCTCACTATAGCCTCTTCTTCTTCCTCATCCTCAGGCCTCTGGATCACTTGCTTCCTCCTTCAAAAGAAGAAACTTCAGTTCCCTCCTTTCCAGAGCTCAATCCATCATTTTCAATCTCTCCGTTTTTCATCTTCATCTCTTCTTCTCTTCACTCTCTCTACTTTTGAACCCTATAATTCTTTTGCCTGTGGCACCCTTCTTTACACCTCGTATTGTCAATTCTTATCTAGAAACGTCCCACACCATTCACAATATTCCCAACAATCTTACTCCAAAATCCAAAATCTTTAATTGGTTATCCCGGACATGAAAATCAAAACCCAAATCATTTGAAGCATCAAAGACCAAGTATCCTTTCCCTTCAACTGCTCTGCCCCGGATTAGGTATTTTTGTATCGAAGGGGAACCAAAGGCATGGATGATCTCATTGGGACTCATGTGGTTGAAGACACCACAGACGATGAACTCCGCTTGTTTCTCAGAGTTTTGCACCAATATGGTCTCACTTCTCGAGCCAATGTTGTTTTCATCTTCGCTTATGCTTCTTCATTTCTGATATTCGAATCTATTATTCAGTAAGAGACTTGAGAATAGAACCCATGGATGCTAACGGTGATTTAAATAGAGGTCAATTGTTGATGCATGAAATTAATCCAGGTGTCAGAATTTTATTGGTTGCCTGGAATTAATGGATCTAATTAATTTGATTTGAGTCATAAATTAATATCTCGTACAATACACTGAAAAAATTAGCTAATTATTGGAAGGATAATTTTCTGTTCCAGATTTTTTTCCCCAATCTTAATCCAACATATATTAACAACAAACAAAAGGCGTTAAATAGAAATTGCCATTTAAAACTGAAAAGAGTTAACATAAAAATGAAATTAATTGAATTTCGATTATATTCACACCCTCTAAAAACTTATTGAACCAATGCATTATTAAGTTTTGCCAGTACTCAGGACAGACAATGAACAGAAATAAAACAAATGTTTGCTTTTTGAAGAATGTTCATATTTCCAGAGCCATTTAACTGAGTTAAGGATGAGAGTTAGTTGAAGTGGTGACTTGGGAAAATACTTGGGCATTCCCCTTATACATAAAAGACCCTCCTACATCCTCTTTGCCCCCAGTTTTAAGGTAGTATGAATCTGAAAAGTAAATTACACTCATCCAATTTTTAATGTAAGAATTAATTATTAAGTTGATCTTGATTTTAAATAAAACCTACTTATTATATTTATTTATATTTTTTAAATCATCTCTATGATATTCTATCAATCATAATCAAATAAGAGAGGGAAGGGGATATTAAGAAGATGGTTATGATGTTTAGAAAGAATAAATCATATTTCTTATAGTAGTTTAATTAACTTACTTAGCTTTTTAATCTAAATAAATTAGTTAAATAAGTCTTATATTAAAAATTAGAGAAATATCATATTTTGCATAATTTATATTAATATATCTTATCATAAACCTCTTTCTTTGAAAACAACCACCGTGTATTATAAAATATTTAGATCTAGAAATGTATGTTTGAGGCTTGCTGAATGAAGATGCTCGTATTTAATGAAAAAGCAAATAAATTAACTACTACTATTACGCTTTTGCTTCTTTTTAATAATTAATTTTCTTTTCAGAATTCATATTATTGTTTTAATTTTAAATCCAACGCACAACAGTTAAGTCTACGCTGGTATTGTATGACTTAAATTTTTAAATCTTTTTTACACAAATTATTTTCTTGGAGGAGATAAAATGAAAATAAATTAGGATTAATATAATTTTGGTCCCTCAAGTTTATCTTCATTTTGTTTTTGATATTTTGAATTTCAAATCATAGGTTTTGGTTTCTCAATAAATAAAATAGTCTAAATTTTTATTAAATTATAGGGAATTAATATTTTAAATAAAAAAATTTAAGGAACTAAAACAATGATTAATTGATATAATATTTATTTATATTATATCAATCAATTAACTATATTTATATGGGTATGCATACATTTGGCTTTCTTTTCTCATCCATCATGAGACGAAATTAAGAAACCTGTGACATTCAATCTAATTTCAATACTTTAGACTTATTTTTTATTTTTAAATTTGAGCTATTTTTACATAAAACTAACAACGAAGAAATTAAGTAATTAATAATTAATTGATATAATATATATTTATATTTTCTTACAAAAGATATGCAAGAAGAATAAAATCTCATTCTTACCTTCCGCACCTAAGTTGCTGTGAATTTGTTTAATCAAGAAAATGCTGCTACTCCTCCGATCTTTAATATAGGACCCAATTCTTGAGTTGGTTTTGGTCCTAAATATAAGACACATTTTTTATATTTATCAATTTTTTCTAAATTACCCCTATAGATATTCTCTTAATCATAGTCAAGTAGAAGAGAGAGGGGGTATTAAGAAAGATGATTATGGTGTTTTAGGAAAAATGTGTCACTTTTCTTATAATTAACTAACTTATCTAACTTCTTTAATCTAATTAAATTAGTTAAATGGGTCTTATATTAAGAATCGGAGGAGTATTAAAAATTTAAAACTGGCCCGCTCCATTCCAAATTTCAATTGTTTTGTCATAGCCAAATACTTTCACATTTAACTCGACTAATTGCATTGTGTAATTTGGGAATCCAGGTTTTTTCTTTTTTTGGTCAAAAGCAATCCAGTTTATTTTAGTTCTGTTTTTTTTTAATTCAACGTGATAAATACGGGACCAGACGTCAGAGATTGGATAGATAGATAGTCTGATTCAATGCATTTCAGTGGGGCAATAGGAACAACCAAGGGAATCGCATCCCCCTCTCTCGAGAACTTGAAAATAAAGGTGTTCAATTTGTCCTCTTCCAGTCCCCGTAAATGCAGGACGGAACAAAAAAATTTTAAAACTGAACAAGTACAAAACGGGATGAGAACAGTGACCAGGATAAGACGGGACGGGAAACGAGACGTCGTGGGATATTTTTTTTTAAAAAATTATTTATTAATAATTATTATTAGATTATTTAATTTACTTATTAATAATAATAATTTTTATAATATTTTTAGCTTTTAAGTTGTGATATTATCTCAACAATATCTCTTTTCTTAATAAAATTATTCATAAAGTTATTATATAATATTTCTTTTACACTTTTTTTTTACTATATAATTGAACTTTTTACGTAATATTTTTATCTCTAGAAACCTAATAAAAAATAGTTATTATAATATAAAAAAATTTGTATGAAAAATTATAGTATTTTTTTTTACAAAAGAGTAACAGGACGTCCCGTCCCATCCCGATCCCGACGAGACTAGGACGGAACCGTGACAGGATATGATATGAGACTAAAACTCTATCCCGTCTCTATTTACCGGGACAGGCCTGTCCGGTCCCATCTATCCGTCCTGTAAACACTCCTACTTAAAAATACCTTTTGGCCCCTAACTGCATACTATAGTACATCCGGTTTCCAGCGACAACAGGCGAGTCACGCATGCACACAGCGCGTGCCGAAAAAACAGAAATAAAAGAAAAGAAAATTCACATACAACCTGCTTCCTCCTCAGCGCCAAACATAGCAAGAACTTGATAAGAGCGGTTTCCCAGCAGCTCTGTGTGCGTTCCAGTCGCTAATCCTGGCACTAAACGGGAACCCGTACCGTCGTTGATCATCCCGGCCGTGTCTTCTTCTTCTTCCCATTCTTCTTCTCTCGCATCCCGCTTCACCACTCACCGGTCACCACCTAACTTTGCTGCCTGCATTGTCATCAAAACGCCATCTGTTTCTGTATCTTTCATGGAAACATATAAATAAAATATTGCGTTCTCGTTTTCTGCAATTATAAAATCTTTTTTGGCTTGTGGATCTGTACGGGCATTTCTCGAGGAAATCGATGGGAAACGCCAACGGTAGAGAAGATGGAGCCATTGGCAGCGATGATCAATCCGCCGCTGGATCAGACATCCGTAGCAGTTATGCGCCGACTTCTCAGCCTCCGGTTCGGGCTTCTTCAATCGATCCCATGGCGAATAGTCCGCCTCCTAGTCCCGGCCGATCTCGATCACCGGTCTTGTTCGCTCCTCAGGTTTCGACCTTCTCCTTTATGCCTCTACTTTATTTTTCTCTGCATGCTTGTCCCGATTCTTGCTCTTCTGTTGGCTTTGGGTACAATTTTTTGGTTGTGTGGTGTAGATTTTGGTTTTTCAGCTGGTTTCAAGTGTTTGATGGGTTTTGCTATGACGTTGTTGCAATGGTTCTGAGTGAAGAATATGATTAATGTTTGGGGCGACGTTTCTGCATGAATTCGCTTTGTGATTGCCAGCTCGTTGGCCTTTCTATCTGGTTAGCCTTGGGTACAATTTTTTTGGTTGTGTGGTGTGGATTTTGGTTTTTCAGCTGATTTCAAGTGTTTGATGGGTTTTGCCATGACGTTGTTGCAATGTTTCTGAGTGAAGACTATGATTCATGTTTCGGTACGTTTCTGCATGAAGTCGCTGTGTGATTACCAGCTCGTTGGCCTATCTATCTGGTTGAGCATCCTGCAATGGAGTCCTGACATTTTGAATGCTAATAATAAGCTGTTGGTGTGCGGTTGCCGGAGAGTGAGAGCTTGGAAACCGGTGAAGACCAGAATGAAAGTTGTATTGCTAGTGCTTGAATAAATTTTGCTCGCGTCAAATCTTCGTGCATGACATGGGAATTTATCTTTCGCAACCTAATAGATCTGGAAAATCTAATATTGATTATTTCCCATTTCTTAGCTGGAGCTTATATCATCAACTGCGTTTTGGCAAGGATTGGCATTAATGGTTTTCGGAAAAAAGGATAAGCATTATAATGACCGAAAGTAATTTGACCGGTTTTTTTTTTTTTTTTTTTTAAATTGAATATATGAAATTTATGAGGTAAAAAAAGGAAAATAGCCTAAAGACTAGCAAGAAAGTGTGGATCTGGGAGACCTATGGTATTTTTGCTTGCGTTTTTAGATTAGCAGCATCAGTCGACATGATTACCATGCTATTTTTGGAGGTTCTTTATTGCTTTGTTTTCTATTGGTAAAGTTGCCGGAAATATACTTCATATATTGTAGTAGAGGGAGGTCAACATGTTAATATGATCCTATTTCAAAGCCCACATAGTACTGCAGTGTCCAATGGTCGAACAGTTAATTTTATCCAGTTTAATAATCACTTGTACCTATGTCCTCTGGCGTAGTGAGTGAAATTCTGTTCTTTTGGAATGCCAATGGGGTGAATGAATGATGGTCAAATATTTAGTTATTTCAATGGTGCACAAACACTCATTTTGTTTTTTTGCGTATATCGGCCCTCAGCTCAGCTTTTTTACTATACTCAGTGACTTATCTGTTTGAGAAGCAGCGTGTGATATTTTGATATATGAGTGCATGCTGTCCACCAAAATCCGGGCCATGATTTGGGATATTGTAATGGATGTACTGAAGTACAATTTAGAATGTTTTACTCAGAAGCTAGGAAGATCTTGCAATTAGATATTAATCACAGTTACGTATATTATAGAATGATTTTCTCGAATATAATTGAATAGTGCTCAATGCCAATATACGTTAATCTCTCATTAGGAGTTATCTCTTGCATTTTATAAGGACCCAGTAACTAGGGTTAGGGTAACGTTTTGATTGACTATTAATAAAGTGTGGCTTGTTACCCATCTCTTCCCCTCCCTTCTTCCCCTCATATTTCTCTGTCTCCCGCTTTCCTCGGTCATGTCCATGTTGACCTGCCTCACTCCCCTTACATAGGGGAGCATGTGTTTTCCTGATGTCCAATATGTGCATGTTGATATGTGTTTGCGTGTGTAGATTTTCACTATGTTAAATAGAATATCTTCTGAAAAATTTTTGCGCGTTTTCAGGTCTTTGGGGCTTGGGTCAACATAAAAGTCATGTCCTAGTGAGTTAAAACTTAAAAGTACCCAACAATATGTGGAAAATGGCTTTTTTAATCTTCTAAGTTGTAGATTGCTTTCCCAAACGATTTTAGGAGCCGGGACTTTTTCCCCTTCCTTTGGCTTAAGTACAATTTTGGTCTTTCTTGTTTCATGCAATTTTTTATTTTGTCCCGTTTGTTCAAAAGCAGGCAATGTTGCCCTTCTATTTTAGAATAAGAAGCCAAGTTTTCTCTCCTTTTCATATTTCCCTTGATTTTTTTAACGAAAGGGACACTATATTTGAGTAAGTCTTTAATGATTTTGCCTATTAAATAAATGTTGTCCAAGCTAACAAATTGTCTAGTTTGAATTTGTTTTTTTATGGATGATGTGAAAGAGGGGCGATCATTTGTTAAAAGATAGGAGTTAAACTTCGTTTTCCCCCCTTTAAATAAAAAAAATTGTGGTCTGTTTCCTTGCAACTATCTTCATCAGACTCAAATCATAAGAGATCTAAATAATTTTAATTTCACTGGATTCAGTGATGTTTTCCATTGTTCAATGTAGTTGCTTTATGTTAAAGATCGATAAATATCATAAAACACTGGAAAGTGAAAGGCTCTAGCTAATGTATTCACCTAGTTAAATATGAATAACTGAAAAATATAGGTACTTGCAGTAGGACCCCTGGGTAGAATAGCAGTTGAATGAATATGTTTAATAACTGATGGTCATCCTCATTCTTTTTCTAGTTTTTACTTTCCTTCCCCTTTTGTGGCTTACTTGTTCGCTTGCTCACATTCAAGAAACATGATGGTTGTTTTTGAGTTTCGGAGCTGGCTGGCAAAAAAAGAAATGGAGCTGGGATTATCTTTTTTCTGCTACGTTGGATGACAAGGTTGCAAAATATTTTGCATAACATCACCATTTGATTGATATATATTTATGTAAAGTGACATAGTTGATGGTTCAATCACCTTGTATTTGAATTGTAGGGTCCACATCAGGCATTTGAGATTAAGTGCTATTCTACCCCTGATTTTTGGAGCAATAGTAAATTAAGTGCTTCAAGCATTTGAGATTAGCCATCGTAGCTTGGCAGCTTTATTTGGGAATTTCACGACCCCTGATTTTTATTAGTATATAATAAAATGTGATTTCAGAACATATAAAATTTATCAGTCTCCTTGAGATAATGAATACCTCTGTCATAGGTGTGTATTGGCTTATTGTGAATTTTTGCACTTTTATGCGTTGCATCTGACCTCACTATTTTCATCTCTGAGACTCTAGGGTTATATGCCAAAAGACATATGATTTTCTCGTTGGCTAAATAATTTTATGGGGTTCCCCCCCCCCCACCCAAAAAAAAAACAAAAGAAATTTCTTACCCTGTTTTCTCAATTATATGGCTGTTTTGTAACCTCACGAAAGAACTGCAACAAAGTATTTCACATACAGGAATGTTGGCTTAAAGATGCTAATTTTGATAGAGATGTAGGTTGGCGTTCCTTTCCCGTTATGGAGAAGTGACTATGATAGCTGATAAGTCCATCATCCTTGACTGAAAGATCTTCCATTATCATATTATATTGCGTTCAATAAATTTTGTTAATTTGAAGGTTTTATGAATTCATAATGATGACTTTCTGAAAGTTCCTCTGAATATTTTTTCTGTTTTGCGGTCCTTGTGTTCTCATAACTAACATTGCATGTGTTTTTGTGAAATGACAATATCTGGTTTATATTGAGAAAGACTCGATAGTATGTTTGTCAATTTGACAACGACCATGAAGCTTGCTTCTTTTGATTGGATGATTTATTATAAAACCACACATTATCAGCAGCTGCACCATGTCATGTTTTACTTTGTGCTTTTTAGGCTCCTCTAGCTCCACTGCAAAGAGGTAATGGTCCTCATTTTTTCAACCAAATGTGGCAGAACGAATCTCATGGGATTGTTGATCAACCTCCTGAGCGAGGAATCCCTGTCATGATTACATGGACTTATGGTGGTAACAATGTGGTTGTACAGGGATCCTGGGATAATTGGACTTCTAGGTTAGACTTAATGATTCCTTTATCAATGATACCGCCTTTATTTTATCAGTGTAGTTGCAAATATCCTACATTTGTACTTGGCAATATAAGTTAACTTTTATTATTTACAGGAAGCAGCTGCAGAGAGCTGGCAAGGATCACTCGGTTGTTATGGTCCTCCCATCCGGCTTATATCATTACAAGTTTATTGTTGATGGCGAACAGAGATATATACCTGAACTTCCTTATGTAGCTGATGAGATGGGTTGTGTCTGTAATCTTCTTGATGTTAATGTAAGCAGTTTTTTTCCTCCGCTTTCTTACAAACATGGCAGATTGGTACTTTTTACAAATCATCACTACATGATTGACTTTAAAAAAATTCAGGATGTTATGAATTGGAAACATAAGAAGAAAAGGCTTAAAGAAATTTGCCTAAGGTTTATTCACTAAAACTTGTCTGTGTTGCTTATTGTCTATCTTTATGGCTTCAGATTTGATTGATGTTTTCTTTTTATTCTGCAGGATTATGTACCTGACATTCCCCAGAGTATTAGCGAATTTGAGCCCCCACCCTCTCCAGAAGCCAGTTATGGCCAAGCGTTTCCTGCTGAAGAAGACTTCGCAAAAGAGCCAATGGCAGTCCCTCAACAGCTGCATCTCACTGTCCTTGGTATGGAGAATTCAGATGTAGGTACCTCTTCAAAGCCTCAACACGTTGTGCTAAACCATGTTTTCATTGAAAAAACTTGGCCGCCCAGTCTGTGGTTGCGCTGGGACTTACTCATAGGTTCCAGTCCAAATATGTGACCGTTGTTCTCTACAAACCTCTCAAACGGTAACCTTTTGCAAGGGAAAAAGAAGAAAGGTAACATGACATCTTTTCTCCTCCCTTTCATTTTTCATTTTTAATACCTCAAGTCTGTAAAGTTGAAATTTTATGTAGACTCAGTAGGTATATGAACGTGTTTTGTTTTGTCCATAAATGTGCTATAAGTCATGTTTGTGTTGCTGTATAAAATCTTCTCGTTTTCCAATAATCTCTAGCTTTACTAGTTCCTCATCCTTCTGCTTGCGGCCTATTTGGAATTCTCGTGGCTTGCCTCGGTGTGCTTTTCCGGTAAAGCTTCTACCATTTAGAGTCGTTTTGGCCGCGGTATAATATATGTTCTATTTTCTTTTTTCTTTGGTGAATAAGATAATACTATCTCCGGTCTTTAATACAAGAGCTAGTTGGCTAGTTTGAGTAGATTAAGAAAAATAGTTAAATTAGTTATTTGCAATAAATAGGTATTATCTTTTTTAAAATATCTTTACTAATTAAGTATATTGGCTAGACTACTATTATTATAAGGACTATTTTAAGAAAAACATATAAATATGAGAGATAAAGTGGATTAAGATCTTGATTCAAATAAAAATTAAACAAGTTCTTATATTAAAGACCGGATATATTATATGTTCTATAATTTTGGGTTAGTGTGCTCCGGTGCCAACGGTGAGAGTGACGGCAACATTTTGTCCGTATGCATATGCAATCTTGCCAGGATTTTACTGGTGGTCAGTTCCCCTGGTACATTGGATAGAACACGTGGTCTGATCCCAAACATGTATTTGTTACTCATTCCGTTTCTTATTATAAGAGACATTTGATGCTTATGACATGTTCTTATATATAAGATATATTTATAAGTTTCTATTTTTTTGTGTTGATTTATTATTTTACCTATATTTATTATCTCCAATTCACACTCTCTCTCCATCCCACTTCTTTTTCTTTTAATAATTTAATTGTTCTCTCTCATACTGTCTCTCCTTATTAATGAGGACATTTTTGAAAAAAAATTATACTTTTTACACATTAATTGTTTTTAACTAATTTTAACTGTTTTTTTTATCAATGTATTTCGGTTATTTGTCTCTTATAATAAGGAACGGAAGGAGTATTATGTTTTAGAAATCAATCGCTGCTAGTTTGGGAGCCACTAGCTATATTTTACTCAAGCACGGGAAGGTTGCTTTCGGTGAGCATGCTGATGATCGAAGTAGCAATATCGTATGGAACTTTCTTCAGTGCAGCTCATTAGTAGGCGAGTGGCTAGCTCCCTGGCGTGCTGAGTTCTGAGAGAGAACTAGTTATTGGTTAAGAAAGGTCCAAGATGAGCTCGATGCCGGAGCCTTACAAGTGTCAAACTAGTCCTGCTAGGCTGCTACTATATTACTCTAGGACTGTCTCTGACGTTAACGAACATGTTACATTTTTTGTTAATTTAGAGCGCAGGTCGTATCTTCTAATAGTCACCGACATTGGCAAAGCTGACACTCGTCAGTTCACAACACCCCAACCATATACTCTATCTATAACAAAAAATGTCGGGGGAAAATTGATATAAACTCTGCACTGGTTAGTTATTCGGCGGCACCTTAATTCTAAGCTATTAACCAGCTCAACTATCAATTTCGGTGATAAAATTGGACAAGAATCACTAGAGGGAAAAGATAGAAAAGAAGGCCTAACATATAAAGGTAGTCTGGTGTTCATATGTGATTTATCAGTAAGACTGCGTGCAATTCAAGGGACACATACTAGTAATTCGAATTTATAGACAAATCATTCATCAATCATTACTTGTCATGACCGTATCACACTCAATTATTTGATCATGGTCATTTCTGTTTTTATCTGCTGCATATTTTGCTACAAGGCAACGATTCATTATCATCTGATTTCCATTATTATTACATAATAGATATTCCAGTCACTTACTTTTAGGAGGAGGTGGAATCTCATTCAGAGGATGGAACATTCTCGAACTCGATCTCTGGTACGACGTTTCTTGTATTGGCGATTCTCTTTTCCCCCGCTTTTGCCATGATTCTGTTCCATCCTTTTCCTTCTCATTCTGCACCCAAACACAGCATATACATTCATTAATCAAAGTGTGCTAAGAGAGGCATTAACCTCCAACTTTTATAAAACCCATACTTGACCCCCACTAGTTTCCTGTTAATCCCTTTTCGGTGGCATTTGCGCGCTCAAAACCAATAATTTCCCCCCTCCCAAAAAAAAAAACAGCCCTCCCAAAAGAAAAAAAGGGGCTCGAGTAAAATAGTCCGGATTCAGAGCATAAAACGTGTGATATCGGGACATACTTGCACGGATCAGCCTTGAGGAATTGCTGACCGCCGATAATCTTAAGAAAATTACAATAAAATCCTTAAAAAAAAATTTACAAAACAAATATTAGAAATTGTCATTTTCTATTTGTGCTTAAATTGTTCTTGAGACTTTGTAATAATTATTTTTCTTTCATGAGACCTTATTATAATTCTTTCTATAATTTTTTGACATTTTTCAATTTTCAAAAATTTCATTAAAAGTGGGCGAAAATCTTATTAATTAAAGAACTTTAATTTAAAAGTAATTTTAATTATGTGTAAATCACTTCTGTTCTAAAGATTTTTGCCCATAATTAATTATAACTTGGATGCACCCAAAAAAGAGAATTGCGCTCTTAGTCCATAAATTTTTCAGACACGTACTTCTAATCAAATTTTCGTCTCATTCTTTTGACCACTATCTTCTACCCCCCCCCCTCTATGTACTTCTCTAATCAATAATGCCTTCTTTTAGCCTGTTTTAAAACATCTAAACGAACATCATGCAAAGCTAAGATGCTTACTCTTATCCAAATAGTGAAGTCTTATGTACGACTAGTTCTCTTCCACTTGTCGAAAGCAAAATAAATAAATAAAAATATTGACAAGATACATCTTTAATCAACTTATTCCCTAATAGAGGGATACGTATTACATATATATATTTTAATTGTTTATCTTTAATCTGAACTGTTTAAATTTTATTATTTTAATTCAAAAACGAAATATAGAAGTAATTTAAATTCAAATTGAGACTTTCAAACAAAATAACGATATAAATTTGAAAATAATAAAGAAATTTAGGTGGTATAGATCTGACTTGACAGTTCAGAGAAAAGCAAAACGGCAATATCGTAGCAGAGAACTCGCAATTCTTATCTTCCAAGAAGAGTCTATTTAATATACAAAAGACGAGCTCAGAATCCACATCCATATCTGGCAACTTCAAATCATACCGTAAAGAATAAGCATAAGTTCGCCACCTCAATCATAGAGAATAGGACGCAATGAATTAAGATTCCAGAAAAAAGGGTTTATGAAATCCCACCAGGGGGCATCATATGCCTTAGTGAAACAGTGACGTGAAAACTAGTTCGACGTCAACGACCCATGGGTCCTCTCTATCCCCCCCCCCCCCAACGAAAGAAAGCTAACTTGACGGAACGCCGTGACCTAATTCTTTATATCTTGACATTCATAAAAACAGAAATCGCTTCAGCAGAAAACTTTACTTTCAAGACTAACAGAGTATTTCGCTTAAAAAAAAAAAAAAAAAGACCAACAGACTAAAGAAATGAAGCGGACCCCATGTCGACCCTGCAATATCAGCGGCGAACTGTGGAGTGACGAACTGAGCATACATTAATTTAACTGTTTATAAAAAGCAAAAATGACTATTTTGCCAACAGCTCCTCCTCAAAGCTCGGTGGCAGAAATAACCCAAAGAGTTCTGAATAGACTCTTCCCAAGCTGAAATGCTTGTGAAGTACATTCCATGCGGAATTCTCATCTTAAGAAGACTTCTAAAAATATATTCACACACTTATCTCGCATTCTCACCTAGCAACCACTTCCAACATCTAATTTAGATTGATTTTAAGCAGTCCATCTTCAATTTAATTTTTTGATATTTTAAACAGGTTTTTATTTTAATAGATAAAAAAGTTAAAATAAAGATTACAATACTAACATTTCTTAAAAAAATATATTTATTACTAAAAACGTTGTAAATTGAAAATTATAATTTGAATCACAAATTTCATCATTTGACACCAAAAACCATCATAATTCAAAAAGAAACTACGTCTATGCCTAATTCCCGACAGGCATTCCGGACTCCATGAATATTTACACTTCTTGCAGTTTTAATATTAAACTCGTTTCTCTACTGTTTGTAGACAACATAGACTCTTTTTCCATTAAAAACAGACGAACTTGAAAATTTTTCTGTTGTATTAATTTCTCACACAAAATAGTCACGAGACCAGCTCAAATAACAGAGAGAAGACTAGAGTTCGAACCAAAAATTCCATATATGAAAATAAGACTATAGTAGATTTCTTTTTCCTAAAGTTATTCAAACCTCGGCTACTATAATCTTTTTTCTGGGAAACAGAAGATAAGAGAAGACAGAAGGGTAGGGGGGAAAAATAAGTTTTTAAGCTCAGAAGTTGTGATAGGTTTATGTAACTAAACAACAAAAGAATAACTGGGGAAAAATCGACTTACCTCTACCTAGGGAGTCAAAAAAATCCACCACGAATTCTATTCTCTCCATTATGGGTAAGGGTCTAGTTAGAACCAAGAAGATAAAAAATCATATTCAACCTATCAAATTGCCATTACTCTGACTTGTTGTATAATTGGACAGAAACATAGTTCCGCACTAATCTAACCCAGATTGGGAAAAAGCAGGGGGTTCTGCGGCAAGCACTATCATATATTTTGGAGTAGCTTTCGAAGGGTAAAAGCACTTTCTTTTCTCGTAAGAAACGGAAAGTCAGAAATGATGTCTGACATTGGATCATCAAACCGAGGATAAGAGATGCACCAACTCAACAATCTTCCTTTCAGAACAGGAAATCATTCCACAGTTCAAACAGAGGAGCACCCAACAGAATATGAAAAATAATTCATGGAAAAAAGTAGTAAATATTAACATAGTTAGCCACCCAAAAAGAAAAAAACACAAATTGCATCCAATTGTTCTGGGTTCATAGTAACCAAAAAAGTAGAAAATTGAAGAACCAATGCATGGTGAGGCACGGCTAATCCAAACTACTAAAACATGGGACGGAACAAACAAGAATACTAATGAGCAGTACCAATAAAGCAAAGAAGGAAATAGACAACCAACCAACAAAAGCTAATGACACCAGAAGATGTCCTAACGGAAATAGAATTCTCATCAAAACTTATCTGCCCTGTCCCTTTTCTCGTTATATGCTTTTCAAATTTTGGTTTAGGTTGATTGGTCCTCACTTGGCCATCATGACTTTGACGAATTCCTCATAGTTGATCTGCCCATCACCATCAACATCAGCTTCACGAATCATCTCATCAACTTCTTCATCTGTCAACTTCTCGCCAAGATTTGTCATGACGTGGCGGAGCTCAGCCGCAGAAATAAAACCATTCTGATCCTTGTCAAAAACACGGAAAGCTTCCTTGAGCTCCTCCTCAGAATCAGTATCTTTCATCTTTCGGGCCATCAGGTTGAGAAACTCTGGGAAATCAATGGTACCATTTCCATCAGCATCAACCTCATTTATCATATCTTGAAGTTCCGCCTCTGTCGGGTTCTGGCCAAGCGATCGCATCACAGTGCCAAGTTCCTTGGTTGTGATACAACCTGTAACATACTATCATGTTAAAAAATAGTAAAAGACACGAAACTGGTTCAGCCATGACACAAAACACATAGATAAATAAATAAATCTTTCAGATGTTATAATGAAGTTTTAAAGCATGTCAAGAGATTTCGACTAGTGTTGCTCTATAAAAAATTGGGAAACTAATCAGGCTTATGGCCTTCAAAACAAGGAAATCGCTAAGCAAACACTATAATTACTAATCCTCTTTTCAACACGACCAGAGACACTTCTAAAACTGAGCATAGGGAAAACTACAATCCACTATTGAAGGAAAGATAAGTAGAATGCCACAAATTCTACTTACTTGTCAGAGATGTAGTGCTACTGAGTACCGACCACAGGGTGATGGCACTGATAGATCGACTAACAAAAATTTTAAGATTATCAAGCTAATTTATTATCCGCAACATTAAAATAAAGTTAGGTCCATAGGATAAAAGCCAAAGTGCAGTCCAAATACACTACAGCGATGTAAAAGGGCCTTCCAACGTAAGAACCATTTTGTAGTGTAAAATTTAAACTACAAAATGTCTTACGTTTAGGACCGGAGGAGTAGAACCGAAGCCATAGAATCTTTTATATCTATATATATATATATTATTTCAGAGGCAATCTGATCAGGTCAGACAAGAAACGAAATATCAAGCCAGGAAATTTTCAGAAAGCTACGATACACCATAATCCAGACAGAATATAGCATATAGAATCACAGAAGCCACACGCGAGACTAACGAAGCGCCAATACGACAAAACAAAGAAATACCGCGAGCCACTCGCATTTCATACACCTCAAAATCAACAGCGAAAAGTCAAACAAAAAGGAACCCTAGATCAGCCAGAAAATTTCAAATTGGAATAGGGACGGGAGCGAACTTGACGTACGGAACAAAAGCAGGAAAGCAAACAAGGAGCAATCAGATCTAAGAACACATCCAGAGTCAATAATTGCAGAGAAAATAAGATCGAAGATTAAATGAAAGAAAGATTAAAGAGATCTGAGAGTGGAGACCATCTCCGTCCTTGTCGAAGAGGCTGAAGGCCTCCTTGAACTCGGAGATCTGGTCGTCGGTGAGCTGATCGGCCATCGGTGGAGGTGTCTGGGTAGCAAGAAATTAAGCGATTCCCAAGGGAGAAGGGAGTAAGACAGGCGGGGGTCGATCTGAGCGTCACTCCTCTGATGAGAACAAGAGCGAAGGAGTAGGCCGTGTATATATATGCGGGCAAAGCACGGTCCAAAGAAAAAATGGCATCTGATGCTCTCTCATCCGCAAGGACTGCCTTTCTCTTCCCTAAAACTTCCTCTAAATCGCTATTTTAATTATTCATTTAGAATTACAATTTTAATTAAAAAGGTAGTATTGCTGTTGTTGTTAGCATTTTATCTCCCAATTCCTCATAAGAATGTCATGTTTTATCTCTCTTTTTTTAATTAGACAACTTAAAATTCTCATCCCCTCTGAGAGGCAATCTACACACCCACACTTTACCAATCCCTACTTTGGTTTTTGTGGGAATAGAACCCATAACTTCACGAAAGGAGATATATAGAGTGTCATTGGACTAGGTGGTTGTTGGCATCATGTTTTATCTCATTAAAATGTATGCTTTTTATTAGAATGTCGTTGGATGAGATTGAGAGAGCTAAAATTTCCTTACTTTTAAAATAGATTTTGATGACTTATTATTATAAAATTGTATTTTGTCTTAAAACACAAAACTAAAATGGTAAAGGCATATTAAAATATAAATGGCATTTGCAGAGAGGAAATGGCATGTAGAACATAAAAACCAAATTTAATGACAGTTGAGTCCGAATTAAAATAATAACATCTCTTAGATATTTTAAAAATAATATATACTAATACAAATTTCAAGGACAGAAATTATAATTACCAATTCACGCCTCATGTAATTTTGCCCCTAAACTAGCCATTTACTAATGAAAGCCTGCTAACGTTGGCAGCATATTTTAATTTTGAATGTTCAGCCTGACTAATTTGTAATGTTCAGCCTTAAGCGAAAGAGAGCGTGAGAGGGACGCTTTTCGGCGTATCTATTAGCCATATCTTCTGGGAAATTCTTCCTAATTCCACTTTCCTTATCCTTCATCTTTTATCAAATCTACGTGCCAGCCAGAGATTATTTCCCCTTATTTGGCAATGTTCGCATTTATTGAAAAAAAAAAATCCACGCAAATATCCAACCCGCCAAAGTAGCGCATACAAATCGATGCACTGGCACTTAGGGGTGGAAACGGGCCAGGTCAGGACATGCCTCACCACAGGCCTGGCCTGTGGTGAGGCTTGTTGGCTTCAGTCTGGCCTGCGGCCTGTGAAAGGCCTTTTTAATTGGACTGAGCCTGGCCTGTGGCCTGTTAAGAGGCCTGTTTTTTTTAACAAATTTTAAACACACATAAATCAATTCAAATTACAATAATTCAACCTAATTGATCTAAAATACAAAAAAAAAAAAATCAAATTAACACAATTTATAAAACATGTCCCCTTAGGTCCAAAAAAATCTAATATAAAAAATTATTAGAAAACATAATTTCACTCTGATATAAAAATATCACTTCATCCCATCTCTAGTATAAAAATTAGTTGATGATTAGATCTAGTTTAAAATATGAAACATTCTTAATCCCTTTTATATTTTAAATTTATCATTTATTCAAACTAATTTACTAATAAAATAATATTTGATTCTGTTGTTACACATGGTTGTTTTAAAAAACATGTTACAATTATTATAGTTTATTTATTTATTTAAATTAATTAAGTAACTATTATAATAAGAATTAGATTGAGCACACATATATATGGTCTAAAACATAATAGGTCAATTATATATATATATATATATATATTCTATATAAGATTAATATGAAAAGCATGAATCAAATAAATGAATGATGCTTTTTTTTTTTAATACACTTATGTTTTCTTTCTCTGTTCAAATATGTGTCATTATACATACATCAATTATTTTTATTATAGAGAATGGAAATGAAATGAAGCATGCAATAGGCTCTAGATAACATATTTATGTGAATGGAGTTTTCTCAATTAACCAATCAGAATAGCATATTCCCTCTTATCAATTTGTAATTTTAACCTTACAGGCTCACTATCAGGCCTGAGCCTGGCCTAATAAAGTAAACAGGCATTTTTACAGGCCTGAGCCTGATTTGATACCTAAATAGGCCAGGCCATTTACAGGCCAGGCCACAGGCCCCTGACAGGCTGCCTGACCTATTTCCACCCCTACTGGCACCTGTGGACAGAGATGCAAAACTGGGGGAAAAAAATGCTGATCACGAATGGGCTTTTGCTTGATTTGGGAATTTTGAAGGAAAGAGGAATGGGAGGAGAGGGAATCCCACTATTTTTTTTTCCCCTTATTCTTGTAGGCACGTAAGTACTAATCAAGAAGCACTTATGAAATCACAAATACAAATGCAATTAATATTTTCTTCCAAAGACTGGTTTGACCTTGTAACTTAATCATCAATTAATACTTAGTACTATTTCCGGTCCTAATTATAAAACCTTATTTGTAAATTATAAACGAGAATTTTGTAATTAGGATCGGAAATAATATATGAAAATTAAATCTTAGAAATATACGAAAGATCTGTATAAAATTTTTTACTTTCTAATTACTTCTTTTATTCGGGGGATGCATAGACATTGAATCTACATCCTAGATGTCCGCGCTACGTATACGGCTTTTGCCTCTGTTTAATATGTGATATAATTCCTTGTAGTATCTTGAGATTGTCTACTTTATATTTTGGATGACGATGGCATAGTTTGTTGGCCCTCATTTATGGCTATATTTTATCCTCGTGATATGGTAATATAGGTTTTTGGTAAGGTGGGCCTTGTATTGTGAATGGGTACAGAGTTGCTTGCTTGAGCTTGGAGTCCAGGTTTGCTTGCCTGAGGATTTCTCTTTTTTGCTAGTTTTGGGTTTGGATATTCCATCTAACTCATACGGTTGAATTGTGAGTGATGGCTGATGATAATGATTAGAGAAAGTCAAGTATAGATTGTAAGCTTTAAAAATCACAGGAATCAAAGTCTTGTATCTCAATGTAGTGAACACCATTCATCATGGCAAACTAGGCAGATCTTTGGGATTGAAAGTATTCAACCAGCCAATAAGTGTTCCTAGTCCAATCCTATGCTATTTTAGAGTTGAATTGAAATTTTAGAAATTTGAATTCACTTAAGATTCAGGATGAATCATATAATCTCTTATTCATAGTTAATTTCATAACTATACTTCTCTAGGGTGTTATAACAATCTACTCAGGTTCATAATATTCCAACATCATATATTTCGTTCCGATTAGAAGTTGGTTCATTAAGATCATCAATAAGAGACAATTGTTGGATTATGTATGAGCACCGATGGTCATGATTCATTAGTGAAACAAAAACATTGCATGAAAACTAAGGGTTAATGTGTAAATTTATCATGAAAGTTTTTACTTGTTAGGCACCAGGAAGTTTTTTAATGTACAAATTTGCCCCAAAAGATTAAAATTGTATCAATTTTGGCCTCTATTATTAAAAGTGTTAACAGTAAATGACATTATTTAAATTTTCAATATTAGTTTTTTAACAGTAGGGGCAAAATTACTATAAAAAACAAAGGCACTGAGTTGACTCTTGAATATGGATTGCAATTATTTGCCATGGAAGCTTAAATTAGTTTTTTAAGGGTAAGCTTCCATGGCAAATTTGTGCTGGTGGAAATGGTTATCTAAAAAGTACAAGAAGAAGAGATGATAAAGAAAATGATGCACAATGTCTTCAAAGTATGGACAACACTTTTTTTAAACTTAATTCGCCCCGCCTATTCTTATCTCATAGGGTGTAAGTTGGGTTAATCGGTGAATTTTTTTGAGGATATAATGAAGACCCTTAAAGATGAATTGCACTTTGAAGATTCAAGCCAAGACAACGACAAAATAATTTGACTTTATTTCTGTGTATACTAAATGACAAGGGTAATGAGTTTTGATCTTGATGTATTTATATTTGTGTTATGTGCAAATGAAGTGATAATAAGAAGTTTATATAGACCATGGAGTGATGTCTGGAGAGATGCCTTTTGGATTAACACATCTTTAATTAAAAGTTATAACTTTATGTTGATTCATGAACCAACATAATTTAAATAGCTAAAAGATATTTAATATCCTTTTCACGAAGAGTTACACTTTTTAACATGTGAGTTCTTTTTAGCATAGAAACTTCATATTTAACCTTTCATATACATATATTAATGTATATAAAGACACAACCTTTCATATAAATATATTAGTTCATATGAGAACACAAACCTTTAGATAAATTTATTAATTTATATGAAAATACAACTCTTTATATAAATTTATTAATTTAATAAATTTACATAAGAAAATGACTTTTCAAAAACATTTTTTTCATTTTAAAAAATTTCAATTGGCACCTAAAAAAATTCTTGATATCCAGCGCTCTTAAGTGAAAACTTTCAGAATAAATTTACAATTTAACTCCAAAAACTAACATGGAAGTCATGATTCTTGATAATCTAGCAAAACTTTTTCTCAAAATCAATAGTATCTATTGCTCATATTGCGTTATTTATTACGCATTTGTTTTAATTTCCTCTCAAATAGTGATAATATTTTAACATAACACGTTCTCGTCATCAACTAGTCCTAAAAAGACAACAATTATCCAAGAAACAATTTCTTCCCACATAAAAGCTCGATTTGGAGTGATCACAAGAAATCTAATGTCCTTTGAGTAAATTTTACAAATAAGACATGTTTTTGTAAATTTGCTCTGACCTTTGATTACATTGTGAAATAATTATAAGGAAAAGAAAGACCACCACAAGTGAACGACTGAAAAATTCAAACCTGGAAGTAAAATGAAGGTCAGGGCAGTGTAAACTTTCTTGAGAATCTTTCTTGGTTCAACAATGTCTACGTCCCGTGCAACAAGAAAAATTTAAATTTAGGACATGAAATACATAGGTACTAGAAAATTTGTTTCAAGTTAGGCAAAATACTATTATGACCCAAAATCTTGTCTCCATCTAAATGTTACAAATTGTTTCCAACCAAAACTCTAGCATCGGGACGCTAATGGGTTTAACATAACTCCGGGAGAATAACAGTAAGGTGTTAAATTGAATTAATG